GGCCAAATAATTGGAAGAAGAAGTGAAAGTGAAGTCATTCGGTCATGTCCAACTCTTTGTGACCCCATGGACTGTAGCCTGCCAGGCTCCTCTGCCCATGGGGATTCTCCAGGCAAGAATACTGGAGTGGGTTGCCATTTCCTTCTCCAGGGGATCTTCCTGACCTAGGGATCGAACCTGGGTCTCCCACATTGCAGGCAGAATCTTTACCCTCTGAGCCACTAAGGAAGCCAAATAATTGAAAAGTATCCATGTCCTAACAACTCAGTAGCCTCTTGGAGAAAAGAGAATATGCAGAAATTGACAAGGGTATTTTTGTTTCATTTTGAAGTAACCAAAATTATTTATGGATGTGTATGCCTGTCAGAATCGGACACGACTGAGCGACTGAACTGAACTCAACTGATGCCTGTCAGGCTCTGCACAAATTCTCAAACCTGAGGAATAGATTGGACACTGTCACCCTCATTTCTTGTTCTAAATTGATTTTCACATAGTACTTGATTTTAATCAGCACCAAAAACCCAACTTCACAAAGATATGACATCATCAAAAAGAATGTAGCATAATCTAATGTGTAGCTGTGAACTACTCCATTAGCAGTTTAAGTGGTGCGTGACAGATGTCATTGTCTTTCTCTTGAAAATTTAAATTATCCCATAGTGCCCCTGTGAGCTTGCTGCAGCTCCTTGGAGGTGACTTAACACAGTTGGTGAAACACAGATACAGACTGTTTCCACAATATTACTCCTAAAAAGATAGCTGTCTGGCATCCTTCTCTGTTTTTGATTTTTTTTTTTACTACCAGTACTTTGATTTTCCTTCATGGGACCACCCCTCTCCCACTGTTATTTTATGTGGTTTGAGCAGCAGTCATCCCAGTCCTGGGCAACAGGGGAGACATGTTAACCAAGACCCAGCCAGCCAATCAGTGACTCAGGATCTGGTTATGGGATAATCACATGACCCAGGTAGGGCCAATGAGAGTCAGCCCTGGAACTCCAGCTAGAATTACAGAGAAAAGATGTTCGTTTTTGAGGTTTGCTCAGCTGGTAGATGTCAGCCTGGGGCTGTCAAAGCTCATCTTTGCCACAACATGGGAGAGACTGTTGAGAACGAAGCTGACAGAGAGGACACAGACACACATGCACACGTAAACATCATTGGAGAACCTGGATCCAGCCCTGCCTGAAGCCATTTGCCACTGGACTTCCCAATCCATAAGCCAATAAACTGTTTTGATTTTTTGGCTTAAAGCTGGTTGAATTGGATTTCTGCCACTTACAACTAAGAACCCTTACTAATGCTTCATGTTAAAGCACCAAAGAAACAAAATTAGTCCCCACAAGTCCAAAAGTTTCCTTCTAAAGTCAAGGGTCTCAGGATACTTTTGGAGCTCAACCCCAAAAATACCTGATGGAAACAGCGGGCCTGGGGTCAAATTCTGGCTCCACGAATTTCAAGTTACATAACATCTCTCAGCCTCAGTCTCGTCTATAAAGCCAGGTTGTTGTTTAGATTAAATGGAATAATCCATGTATCATACAGTTAGTTCTTATTGTTGCTGCTATTACTGTCAGCCTTTGTTTGGTAGATAAAGAAACTCAAGTTCAGAGAAGCAGCTTGCTAAAGGTCAGATGCTGGACAGCAGAATTCAGTCCTGAACCCAAGAATTCTGACTCCCTTGTCCAGAGTTCTTTCCACACAACCCACTTCTAGGGGAAAAGACGCCTAGAAAGTAAGGCAAGATGGGAGAGAAACAAAAGTACCCAGGGCACAGACCTGCCTTGGGCAGTGGTTAAGAGTACAGACTCTGGGGACTTCCCCAGCAGTCCAGTGGTTAAGACTCCACACTCCCAATGCAGGGGGCACCAGTTCAATACCTAGTGTGGGAACTACAATCCTGTGTGACACAAGGCATGGCCTAATTAAATAAAAAAATTTTTTGAAGAGTATAGACGTTGATGTTCACCTGCCTGGATTTGAATCCTGACTCTAGTACTTATATTTCGGGGTGTATTTTTCACTTTGTAAGATGGGTATAACAGGCTCTATTTCAGATGGTTTTAATTAAATAATACTGATCTTCCTGCTTCCAACCTGTCCCCCTCATGTCTATTCTATACACAGCAGCCAAAGGAATGCCCGTTTCATTGGTAATAAAAACCCCAAAATCTGTGTAATGTCCTACCAGGCCCCTGCATTTCCGAGAGGTCAGGGTAAGGGAAAGGCCTTTTCGGGCTACCCCCTTCCTGGGTGCAGAGGGATGAGGTCAGGTTTCCAAAGAGCTAAGACAAGAAAGGCTCATTAAATCACCTGCCACCATGTCTGTAAGTGACCTTCTGTGGTCACACCACAGGCCACAGGGCCAAACATTCGCCAGTCTCAGACTAATGCTCAATGAGGCAGCACACCCGAAACCCCAACTAGCCAAAACCAAAGTCCTCATAGCAACTCAGCCTTGCCCCTGAGTCCAGGGAGGCCCTGGCAGATGTAAATCACAGACAAAAGAACAAAGATCCTTTCCCCTAGAAAGTCCCAGATATTTTGACATTTTAGGGGTTGGGGGGGGATTCCAGAAATCTTTCAAATCCTATTGGGTCTGAAATTAGATTTCCTCTTTCCTCCTTCCACTGGCAAAAGGGAAGGAGAGGTAAAACACAAGAGATACTATACATCATCCCAAGAAAGACAATCAGAGAGATACGAACATAAAACCCACAAATCCCAGATTCTGAAGCAGATATAGGTGAAGTAAGATAGACTGGGATTTTCTGATGGGAGAAAAAGACCCTTCCTATCATTAACCTTTTTAGTTCCAGTCAGCACCGACCCCCCACCCTGTATACCTGTTGTGACCTCCTTGCTCCCCGACAAATGTCTCATATTTGCAAGTTCACACAACACACACACAACGACAATGTACACTCTACTTATTACATGCCTATTTCCAGAGATGTTCATCTCAGGAGTTTGGAGTTCTCACGTGTATTATGGGGGGTGAGGGGAGGGATAAGAAGTCGAACCTAGTCCATTCCACTTGCCCCAATGCTGAAGACCTGAGCGAGGGACATCACGATTTCTACCCAGTCAGTTCTTCTACAACCCTTGCTGTGTACCAGGGGACACAATCCAGGATTCATTTCCAATTCCTCTCTGTCCCCCACACACTTGAGCCCCAGAGACACCAAGTGAGAACATAACAACAAATCAAACGTCTCCTCTGCAACCTCTGCCTGCCAAGACTAGCTATCTAATTGCTGTTAATTGCATTAATTGTATAGCTCTGAAGAGTTAAGACTCTTCCTTCTAGCTGAAAGCAGGGTCAAGGAAAGGAATTATGAACAACAAAAGCTCCACACAGCAAAACTCTTCTCTCACGCCCGACCCTAACACCCTCCATGGCTCCACAGTTGGACATAACCGAGAGCCCAGCAGGACAAAGTGGTGAGAAGCAGCTGAGCGGGGACTTCCCTGGTGGTCCAATGGTTAAGACTCCTCGCTCCCAACGCAGGGGGCCTGGGTTCAGTCCCTGATCGGGGAACTAGATCCCACGAGCCACAACTAAAGATCCCCCACATACTGCAATGAAGACTGAAGATCCTGAGTGCTGCAATTAAGACTTGGCACAGCCAAAATAAAGATAAATACTGAGGAAAAAAAAAAAGAAGTAGCTGATTCTTCTCCATGGCAGGAGAGCCAGAAGGGTCCCCTGGGAACCAGTTCTGGTACCTTACTCTCTGCTCACACCTAAAACAGCACCCCTCTCCCTGCCTGGTCTCCCCAGCACCCCTTCTCTATTCTTCCGGGCCTATGACCCATCTTCCCTCTAGATGGCTCTGGAAAGACCCATCACAGACACCCTTCCGCATCTTCCCTCCCTCCCCTACTCTGGACACAGTAAGAGGCTAACCAAACTGCAGACAAGAGCTCCATGGACAAGCAAAATGTCACTGCTCCCAGCTGAGACTAGGCAGAAGTGGGCTGGGGGTGTTCCATGTCACTTCAGGCAAACAGAGCCCAACTCTGGGGGAAAACAAACACAATCCAGTAGCCTGGGAGGGAAAAGCCCCATCTCCCATAAAAAGATCCAGGCATCTCTTTTAGCCAACCCCAAGATTTCCAGAGACCTCTCTAGTCATCAGGATAGGCAGCTGAGGCCTCTGTGAACCTCCTATTAGGAACAACTCCTCCTGCCAGGGACCCTGCAGCAGCAATGCCAATGCTGTTCTTTCAAGGGGCCTCTCTTACACACGACCTCACCCCACCCAGCATAAGGCTCTGGGCCAAGGGTGAGGGCTGGGAGCAGCCTCTATCACTGGGAGGCAACCCAGCTGTCAGAAGTGACAGATGTCATCCACGACGCCAAACTCGGCCTGCAGCAACGTCAGAGGCGGGACACAGGAGCCCCAAAGGCTGAGGTCAGGGGTCTCTAACCCCTAAGCAAAGCCTGGGGGTTCAAGGTGAATGGCTCCCAAGCACATCTCCCAAAATGGAGCGTCAGAGGAGAGGGCTGACCCGTCACAGCAAAGGGGGAGTGGAGCCACCAAAACCCGGTGGGCGGCGGTGGGGTTAGGGAAGACCTCTGAGGAGGTAGGGGCTGGGCTTTCTCTTCTGAGTCCCAGAACATACCTGGTGCCTCCGGCCTCCCCCACATGGACATGCCTGGAACTTCCCCTCAGAGGTCACAGATCAACTTTCTGCAGCGAAGGAAGCGCGCGAGGCAAAGAGTCGGTGAGAGGGCGGGGGGGATGGGGGGGCTTCCACCCGGCGCCCCAAGTGCATGAAAAACTGAAGTCCTGGAAGATGGGAAGGGGCTGGCCCACGCAGACCACCGGCAATCCGCACCACCGCGCCCCCCCCCCCACCCCGCCGCAGGGCCTGGCCCGGGGCAACCTCTGGGCCTTGATGGTTCCCGCGGCCGGGGCTGGGAGAAGCAGGAAAGGGAATACCCGGCACTTCAGGCATTCGAGTTTCGGGACCAGGTGGCCCGGTCCTACCTGCAGTTCCTGAAATTCTCCCTCCAGCTCGTGCCACTCGCGCTCGCAACGCTCCAGCTGGCCGGACATGGTGCAGTGGTGCGAGGCGGCGGCGGCTGCTCCCGCAGCGTGGCGCGGCAAGCCACCCGCACCCCACGCGTGTCCGCCGGCCGGCCGCCTTCCCAGGCACCAGCTGTTCCTGCGCAGCCCGAGCCACGCGCGCACCTGACGTCACAGCCCCGGCCCCGGCGCCCGCCCCACCCCCTCGCCGGGAGGCAGCCCCCTGCGCATGCGCACGCGCCTCCCCGGTCCCGCCCCCGCGGGCCAGGCGCCCGCGGGGCGGAATTGTTGTACCTTTGCGGGACTTGGCTGGGTCTCTCTGTGTCTCTTTAGAAATGCTTCGGCCCTTACGGAATCTCTCATGCCTAGCTGGGATGGGGAAGTTGTCCGCAAACCGCGTTTATAGAGCTTATTTTACCTAGATTGTGTGTATTTGGGGTGTCTGGGGTCGGAGGGAGGAAGGAGTTTGCGGGGAGGGAGCGTTGCCTTAACGGAGCCGAAGCCAGCAACGGCCTGAAATGCTAAAACTGACATTGACCATCCAGCAAGGTCGCCGGTCGGGGCGGGGAAGCGCAGAGAGGGCCCTGTCATCTCATATTGTCATTATTTATTGCAACTAATACATCCTAGATCCTGCCCTCTAAGGCTCTGGGTGACTTGCCTGACAGCTGTTTCTGTCATTCAAATGACTCAGCCACCTCATTGCTAATTGAATCCCCTCTCCCGCCTGGTCCTACAAGCTCTATCCCTGCCTAGCTTTCCAGGCATATCTCCTATCTCAGCCCTCTTCAGCCGCTGTTTTTTAGTTCCTGCTTTTGCATGAAATATTCTTCCCTGTAGCTCTTCACTTGGTTTTCTTTTTCTTATCATTCTCTTCTTAGCTCAAATGACACCTGTATTGGTTCCCTAGGGCTGCCCTAACTACACACTGGGTTAAATACCACACACTGGGTGACTTAAACAACAGAAATGTGTTATCTCGTGGTTCTGGAGGCTAGACGTGAGAAATCAAGGAGACAACAAATTCACACTCCTTGGAATCTTGCTTCCTCATAGCTTATGGTGGTGGTCACCAACCTCAGCGTTCCTTGGCTTGCAGCTTCGCCCCCTCCAGCCCCTGCGTTCTGTTGTCACAGGGTCCTCCTTCCCTGCATGCTTTTCTCTGTGTGGCCTCTCCTCTGCAAGGACACCAGCCTCCTTGGATTAAGGGCCCACATGCCTCATAGCCAAAAAAACAGAACGTAAAAGTAATATTATAACAAATTCAATAAAGACTTTAAAAACAGTCCACATCAAAAAAGGAAAAAATGGAGGGGGGTGGGAAGGAGGTTGAAGAGGGAAGGAACATACGTATACTTATGGCTGATTCATGTTGTTGTACAGCAGAAGCCAACATATTTTAAAGCAATCATCCTCCAACTAAAAGAATTTTTTTTAAGCAGAACACTCTGGGTACACTGGACTCATGTTTATACTTGGCCATGGGCTGGAACAGAGGAACAAATGTCCCGTTCACAAAGGGCTTGCCAGTCACCACAGTCCCCACCATGCTCAATTGTACTGCCCCAGTTTATTTCATGTGGACTGGAGACTGTTGAGTTTGAGACTTCTGATATAAAATGTCATGAAGCTTGCAAACCTGTATAAATCATGCACATGGTGAAAGAAAAAACAGAAAACAGTTTATTTAATTGGGGTTAGTAGACTCAAAAAAGGAAACCCAGGGCCTTGAAGGATGAATTAAATGTCACCAAGCATGAGGAGAAGGGGACAACAGAGGATGAGACGGTTGGATGGCATCATCAACTCAACAGATATGAGTTTGAGAAAACTCTGGGAGATAGTGAAGGACAGGGAAGCCTGGCATGCTGTAGTCCATAGGATCACAGAGTTGGACAAGACTGAGCGACAGAACAATGGCAACAAGCAGAGGATTTTGGAAGAAGATCCCACTTTACCTATGCTTGCAGTCATTCAGTTCTGGGTGGAAGAGGTTGGCCCTACCCCCCGCCCCCCTGCCCCAGGTAGAGTTGGGCAAGTACACCTTCTCCACTAGCTGGCCAGGTGTCAGGCTGCAAATCTTAGGAACTGTTCTTCATAGGGTCAGGACTCCTGGTGATTATTCACAAGCCCTTCTGTAGATGGCGCAGGCTGTTCACCCCCATCAGTGTAGCCGCTTAGGTACCAGAAGTATCAGATCTTACCTGGCTGCCCCCACCATCACCACCCTCCCACCCACCCGCAATCCCCTGTCCCGGTTTCTGCCCAAAGAGCTGTCAGACTCACTCATCCGCTTCCTGACGCTGTATCTGCCTCTTCTTAGGAAATTTGAGCATGATAAATGAAAACATGTGTTGTAAGAGTATCCTCCCCACTTCTTCCCCACATCACCAGGGGGAAATGTCTTCTATTTGTTCATTTTAAGGCCCTCTACTTAGAGACCTACCCACTGGAGAATTTTCTCAGTTATCTGGGAAGAGTCATAAAAGTAGCAAAACAGAAGGAATTCCCTGGCAGTCCAGTGGTTAGGGCTCTGTGCTTTCACTGCTGAGGGCTCAAGTTCAATCCCTGGTCAGGAAACTAGGATCCTATAATCCTCATGGCACAGCCCCAGAAAATAAGTAGCACACACATAGCACTCACTATGTGCTAGGACTTCTATGCACTATATGTATATGTATTAACACAATAAGTCCTCACAATGACCTGATGAGGAAGGACTTTTATTATCTCTATTTGATACATAAGTATGGTTTCTCCAACTTTTCAGTGTGCTTATGAACCACCTTCTGGAGCTCTTAAAATGCAAGTTCTGACTCAGTAGGTTCTAGGAAGGATCCAAAATTCTGTAATTCTACAAGCTCCCAGCCAATACTACTGGTCCAAGGACCACACTTGCAGTAGCAAGAGACCAAGGTGCAGAGAGGTAAAAAGACTTTCCCCAAATCATCCAGCTACTGGTAGTGGTGTTACTTTACTTATGCAATGCAGGATGCCAAGACCCTATTCTACAGAAATAGCAGCTCCCAATGAGAAGTGAAAATTCTAAGGATTTTCCTTCATCTGCTTCCCACAAATGCCCTTGCTCAAAATAGTCCCAGAGATTGTAACAAGCAATTTGTGCAAAGATGGTTATAGCAGCATTTTTCAAATCAGTCACACACTGGAAGCATCCCAAGTGCCCCACAACAGCAAAATGGTTAAGTAAGCTATAGTCTACAGTGGTTAGGATTGAGTGTTTCACTGCGGTGGCCGGGGTCCAATTCCTGCTTGGGGAACGAAGATCCCACAAGGCGGGCAGTGCCACAAAAAAATTAAAAAGTACAAAAACAAAACAAAAAAGATATAGTCTTTCTATTTTATGTAATATTACATGGCTGTTAAAAATTGCTATGGGAACTAAATGGATACTTTTAAACAGGTATATTAAATCATGTGAAGTAAGAAAGTGGAGCCCCAAAATAATGTGTATACACTGATTAAAGTTATCTGATCATTCATGTATTCTAAAAAAGACTGGGTGAATTTAGTATAACAGAAATAGTCCATAAAATAAATTGATGGCATCTTTTCTTCCTGAAATGTTTAGGTGTTTGATAGAAATTTTACACCCCTATCTTTCTGTTCATGGGTTTATAATATAAGCAGTATTATCTATTAAAATTCATTTGTTTAATATTTTCTCTTCAGGTAGCAAAATGTCCTTCATGTCTTTATTCAGTTATTTGCATTACTGGGCCTACCTGGGACTGTAAAGTCCTGGCTGGCTGGGGCGGTGTGGTTTACTAGTCAACCTGAGTTCAAATCTCTTTGAACTGCTGGAGAGGTGACCTTGAGTATATAACTGGCCTTCTCTGTGAACTGAAGGTTGCTCTCATAGGATTGTTGTGAGGACTAAATGCAATATGTAGATGAAGTGCCTGATGTGTAAGCACCCGAAAGCACTAACTTTATAAAGCTGAGTCTTAAAAAACTAACAGGATTTCCCTGGTGGTCCTATGGTTAAGATTCTGCACTTCCACTGCAGAGGGCACATGTTCCATCCTTGGCGGGAGATCTAAAGATCACATGCCTTGAGATACAGCCAAAAAAAACCAAAAAATTATTTTGGGATACTTTAAGATTTACCAACAGAGCTGCAAATATAATTTCCATTCACTCTTCTTCGCTCCTTTTCCCCTTATGTTGACAATTTACATAACCATGACATCTTTATCAAAACTACGAAATGAACGTAGGCATATGACTATGAACTAAATTCCAAAATTTATTCAGGTTTTACCAGTCTTTCCACCGATGTCCGTTTTCTGTTCTGCAATTCAATCTGACACTGCATTTAAGTATCATGTCTCTATAGTCTCCTGGTCTCTGATAGTATCTCAGTCTTTCCTTGTTTTTTCATGGTCTTGACAGTTTTGAAGAGTAAACTGTATATTTTTAGTAATAGTTTTATTGAGCTGTCAAGATGATTAATTTTATGTGTCAACTGACTGAGCCACATATCCAGCTCAGATATCCAGCTAAACATCATTTGGGTGTGTCTGCGAAGGTCTCTCCAGAAGAGATTATTTGGATCAGTAAACTGAGTAAAGCAGATTGTCTTCCCCAATATAAGAGCCCCAGCCAATCAACTGAGGGTCTGAATAGAATAAAAAGGTATGGGAAGACAGCATTCTCTCTCCCTCTGCCTGACCCATTAAGTCTCCTGCCCTGGGACTAGGATTTACACCTTATCAGTTCTCTTAATTCTAAAGCCTTCAGCTTAAGGGACTTACCTGGTGGTCCAGTGGTTAAGAATCCACCTGCCAATGCAGGAAATCTGGGTTTGATCCCTGGTGATAGAACTAAGATCCCACATACTGACGAGCAGCTAAACCCACGCGCTTCAATAACTAAGCCCAAGCACCACAACTAGAGAGTCCACGAGCTGTAACAAAAGATCCCACAGGAGGCAAGTAAGATCTGACACGGCCAAATAACAATAAAATAAATAAATACTCTTAAAAAGAAATAAAGCCTTTAGTTCAGAC